CCTACTAGCGTAATCTGTTTATTACAATTGCTTTTCAGGTAATTCAAATATTTACTCCAGTCCTCTGAGAATCTCTGGTCCCGCAGGTTTCGGATCCTTCCTGTCATCTTATCTAATTCTGCATAGTCCATTAATTTCGTCTGCCATTCTTCTTTCGTCGGTAATTCTTCTTGTTTCCATTTCTGTGCCAATAATATTCTTGCTGCCGTTGTTGCACAGAAAAACAATTTACTATCCTGTCTGTTAATATCCTCCCCTACCATGCCAAGTAAAAATGCTTCTGCATTATTAAAATAAATGTATATTTCAACATCTTTTTCAGAGATTCCTCATGTTCTAGACCCCTCCTGTTTTGAGGTTAAAGGGGCCAACTGAGGGTGCCTTACTTAAGAGTCCCCAAAATCGGATGCTACAGTTTCTTCTCTGCCACAGACAAAATGAAGGGCTGGGAGCTTCCCTAGGGCAGCTCTCTCAAAAGGTCTTCCACCAAATAGTGTGGGGTTGTTGTAGTTTTTTAAAAAAATGATTTTCCAGGAAAAACATGCTTCCAAAACAAAATTAGCATTATGACAGTAGAATCATAGAATTGTAGAGTTGGAAGAGACCCTGAGGACCATACAGTCCAGCTCCCTGCAATGTAGGGATCTCAACTAAAGCATCCATGACAGATGGCCATCCAACCTCTGCTGAAAAGCCTCCAAGGAAGGTCCACCAACTTCCAAGGGAGTCCGTTCCACTGCCAAACAGCTCTTACTGCCAGAAAATTCTTCCTGATGTTTAGTTGGAATCTCCTTTCTTGTAGCTTGAAGCCATTGGTTCGGGTCCTACCCTCCAGAGCAGGAGAAAACAAGTGTGGTCCATCTTCCATGTGACAGCCCTTGAGATAGTTGAAGATGGCTGTCACATCTCTCAGTTTCCTCTTATGTAGGCTAAGCCTACATAGTTCCCTCATAAGGTTAGCTTTCCAAACCTTTGGTCGCCCTTCTTTGTACAGGTTCCAGGACTCCAAGTGGGATCTGGCCAAGGCAGAACAGAGCAGTGCTATTATTTCCCTTGATCTGGACACTATATGGAACACTAGTTCCTCTTAGGCGATTCTGGTTCATCAACATTGTATGACTCAAAAAGGGAGTCCAATTTTCCAGAGCCCTACAGCACAGTCCTATGCATATTTACTCAGAAATAAATTCCCCTGCGATTTAGAAGGCCTTACTCAAGTGTGTTACTCAGAAATACTTTTCTTCCAACATGCTTGAACTGTCTGCATAACATCTTTATAGCTTTTACATAACTACAGTGTCTCGTCATATAATTGGCTACGCACAAATTTGTTGCTATTAGACTTTTTGCAAACACAACATTACATATCTTTCCAACCACCATTCAGCATTAATTTCTGGAATAAAATAGACTTTCTCCACATCATTTCCAATAAACCCCATTACCATTTTTTACATATATATCTAATTTACACTGGTTATATTCCATTTATTCAATAATCTTATCTTTAACTTCCCAGAGAGAAGCACTCTCAATAATGGAGCCCTCCTTCATTAGTTCTGTTTCTTAATCCTGCTCCCTTTTGATGTACTAACAAACCCATAAACACCTGTACAGTTCTGAAATCCAACCTTTAGAATATATTACAGCTCAATCCTACACATTGTCTACTCAGAGTAAGACCTGTTGGGTTCAGTGGGATTTATTCCCTATTATTAATAATAATGATTGATTGATTAAATCCTTCACCCATAGATCTCAGAGCAGTTCACAAAAAAGATAAAAAACACAAAATACATAATAAAAAACAATGACAATAACATCGTGTGGGGATTGTTGTGCATGTAAAGGTATGTTCATAATCGGGCCCCCACCTGCAGCCTAAACAAAGGTGCAAAAAGAACCCTCATCAAGTCCCTTTTTACCTTGTTAAAATGTGTGTGAACATGATGAACATTCTCATTCGCAGATTTTATGAGTTTTCTTTGCTTAGTTTTACATGCAAGTTTGCATATGTTACAAATTCTCCCCGATCAATTACGTCTGAAAATGTGTCTAATCAGCAATCTGTTCTTGTATGCATTTTTCCCTTGATCTAAAATGAAGAATAAATATAAAACTAATAGATAAACGTTGACACTGGAGAAATCCATGATCAACAATCAATCAACAAGTATTCAACAAAGATTTCCATCTTCTCTGTATTATAAGCTAATTTTTGAATCAAATTTGGAGATCCTCTTTGGAGGGAACAATCAAAGGGAAGTAAAAGAAAGAAAGAAAGAAAGAAAGAGGCTTGTTAAGAGTTGCAAAATTTTCCAGGTGGCTTCTGCACATTCCTACCATCTGACAGCTGCAGAGTCCCCCTGCCCCGGTGCATATTAACTAAGAGGGGTAAAGGAATGGACAAAACAACTGGCTGGGATTGAAAATGACCACAACTTTATGGATTTCAGATAATAATAATAATAATAATAATAATAATAATAATAATAATAATAATAATTTATTTCCCCAGCCACTCTGGGCGGCTTCCAACAAAGATTAAAAATACATTAAATTGTCACACATTAAAAACTTCCCTGAACAGGGCTGCCTTCAGATGTCTTCTAAATGTCAGTAGTTGTTTATTTCTTTGACATCTGGTGGGAGGGTGTTCCACAGGGCAGGCGCCACCACCGAGAAGGCCCTCTGCTTGGTTCCCTGTAGCTTTGCTTCTCACAGTGAGGGAACCGCCAGAAGGCCCTTGGTGCTGGACATCAGTGTCCGGGCTGAACGATGGGGGTGGAGACGCTCCTTCAGGTGTACTGTAGGTATACTACTATGTAGGTAAACCTTGGCATAGGCATTGGCGTATATCACTCTCAGCCCTCCCCCCCCCCGAAGGGGGTCTGAGGCATGTCAGGGTCTATTCTGGGAATGTGGCCTGCTAGCCCTACGCAACTTGCTCTTCTGAAAGAGAATTCCCTCTAATGGGCTACCCTGTTATCATCGCCACAGGGAAAGGGGGAAGGGGTGAGTCACCACTTCACTCACACCCTGACTGGATGAAAGACCATAGGATTCCGCCCAAGGCCTAAACCGCCAAGTTGTGACTAGTGGTATGGGGAAGGCAAAACCTGCAGTTTAGGGGAACTTCCTTCCCGGCGCTGAATATGGCAATATTCAGACAACCACAGCAGATTCCTGTAGGATGAAAAGGAAATGGTTAATGCAATAATCAACTATTAAGGAAGGGAGGGTTCTGGCTGGGTGACACTCCCGGCCGACTGGACTGCAGGGTGAGAAATTAAACAATATAAATGATATGTGTGTAGTAGAACTGAACCGCAATTTATTAAACAAAATTTTCTCAGATACCTTTTGTTATTTTTCTCGCCACTACTCAGCACCTGCCATTTTCCACCCACAGAAGCAGTGTTTTTCCCCCTGGGGGTATGCAGGGGTTACACATACCCCTAAACATTTTGTGAATCGAAGTATGGCCTCCTTGAGGGGCAGTATTTCAATATGAGTAGGAAAATGAGAGTACCCCTAAACATTTTTTTTAGAAAAAAAAAAACACTGTCCAGAAGGATGCTGGGTCAAAGGCCCTGGGGAGGATGAAATGGGAAGTTTGTCTATAACAACAAAGTTACTGCTACTGTCCCTTCCAGAACAGGAAGGGAGGAAAGGAACAGAATGGAAAAATGAAAGAAGATGGCACTTCTGCCACTGCTAATGAGCCCCACCCCTGAGAAACTATGGGGTGATTTCTCCCTCCCTAGAGAAATTTTGTGAATTTCTCTGCCCACAAATAAGATGGGGATTTTTTTTTGGGGGGGGGGCTATTTGCGCACGGCTGCCTGTACCTTATGACCTGCCCCAGAAACTCTATTGAGATGCCTGCCTGATAAAGGAAGTGAGAGTGGCAAGGACACAGACACAAGGGCCTTTTTAGTAGTGGCCCCACAATTGCAGGATGCGATTCTCTGGGCATCAGAACAGCTCCATCCCTTCCAGGTTTGAAACTAACCTTAGAGTCCCCTATCTTAGAGACCTACCACTTTGTTGCAAACTTCAGCAGCTAATTAGTTGTGAGTGCCAAACCAATATCTCTGGCTGGTTTTGATAATTTTATATTTGTCAAAACTTGGTTTCGGCAGTGTTTTGAAATATTTTGAGGCTTTTGGAGTGTTCTAATAAGGTGCTAATTGCCAATTGCTCTGGGTTTGTTTCGTTTTCTTGAAAAGGAGGATGAGACTTTATGAAACAACTACATAAAACAAAACTCTAGGGCTCATAGTTTCCCAGCAGTTGCCCCCCCCCTTTGTTAAAATACAGAATTGAAAGTTGTACTTCCCATGGCTGCTTTTTGAGGTTTTTTGGTTTTTTTTAAGAGTGCAAAGAATGTGGTCTGCATTTGACCCTAAATTTTAACAGTTGGGGAGACAGCAGAGGGAGTGTACAGAGAGAAGGGGAAGAGAGAGGCCAGCCTAAAATATCTTTAAAAAAAAATAAATCATCATTATGATCAGATGCAGTCACAATTGGTACTTAAGCTCTGCCTTGGCTTAGGATGAAGACAGGTAATGCCAGAGGCTTTGCGGAAGAGGGGGAGCACAGCCCTGTTTCTCTCTTTTCCTGGAGAGAGCTCTGAGGCCTGGGGGGGGGGTCACACTGTCTATGCCCCCCACCCCAGCCTCATCTCCCAGTTCAAGTCCTCCCTCGTGCAAAGGAAACGGTTGAGGCCGTGAGCACTGGTACGGATGCAAGGCTGGCTGGAAAATGTGAGTCTCGGCACCAGTGTTCATCTTTTAATTGCTGCTCAGCTTAAGGATGCTAAGTTTAGACCGAGAAATGGCTGTTGACTCACAGCGGAGGGTAAGGTGCACCAGTTCCGGCTGTCAGGTGCCTGGTGAGCGGAACGCCCCCTCCTGCAAGCAGGCAGGCAGGCAGGCAGGCATATGTGCATTGCCCGAGATCTATGTATAGTAACTTTTCTTCTTGTTTGTCTCCAGCATCCTCGCCACAGCAGGGACCCATTTCAACACCCATGTGGACCTGAGGACGCTGCGGGCAGTGCGAGTGCTCAGACCCTTGAAGCTTGTCTCAGGCATTCCTAGTAAGCATCTGGTTTCTCCCCATCCCTCCCTCCCTCCCTCCCTCTTCCTGCTTCCTTGCTGAGCAGCATTGGTGTTTGCAGCGTGAATCCTTCGTATCCCACTGTGCTGTTCGCAGAAGCGCATTACACAGCCAGGGGGAATTGCTGCAGGAGATGCTGTGCATGAAAGTCCCGGGTTCACACATTCTGGGATGTTGCATATGGGGTGATTGCTAAAAACTGGGTTGCCAGTTCTCATGAAGCTGAGCCCCTTGGAGGAGCCTGGTGGGCAGGAGTTTCGTGGTTGCGTGTGGAGGTCCCCAAGCCACCCCTCAAAATAATTCACAAATCACACGTAATTTTAGTTTACGGTTTGGGGCACTATTTTGGCCACAACTTTATTAAAATACAAAATCTGTGAGTGGTTGTTTAGACATTGGTTATGACTATCTGTCCCCCCGCCTGGGACAGAAATGACTATCCGAACTCCCTCGGAAGCCAGTGAAGGGATAACAATATTGGGGATCAGTTGAGCTGAGCGTCAGTCCCTCACCGCTCACTCATTCTGCTCCCCAAGGCTTGCCGGCCCTGGTCCCATTTCAGGGATTGGACGAAATTGTGGCAAGCCCCTGGATTCCTTTAACAGAATTCCCTTCCACCACCATTGGAGGGGCAGGCCCAGCCTATCCTGACCCCTCCTCCACCAATTTTTATAACCAATGCCTAACCACAACCTTACAAGTTGTGACAAATTGCTAAGTAGTAGGCAAAAACCAGATGGCACCAGCCAATCAGCCAAATGGCAAAAGTCCTCCTAGTCCCCTGCCCCAACGGCAGATGACCCCATGACAGGCAAAGCAAGGTCAACAGGAACACAGGGCGGGCGGGTGGGTGATCCGATGCACACAGCGAAAGAGAAAGGAAAAGGCTAATTGCTCCAATATTTAAAACCTTTGGTCCCACCCACCCAATTTGCAACATACAATTTGCCCCAGCAACCCAGTCAACCAATCGTTGCTTCAAGCACTAACCATTTAACCTGCCTGGCAACAGAGGTTTGGCCTGGTAGACCCCCCCCCCCGCAACCCGTGCTCTCATTTAGGGGAGAACATGCTATGCAGGAAATGCCGCCTGGCGGGCCAGAAAAATAATCCTGGCTGAAGATTAGGTGGTCTCCCACACTGGCTATGCCAACTAGTTCAGGGATGAAGTCTGAGGGACGTGGGGATGGAGCATACAGCAAACACACTTTATCAGGCCTGGCTCTGGCGATACCATGCTGAGAATGCTATTTATCATTTGTCCGGAGTGTGCACGTCATCACCTGATGAGTCCGGTGGTGTGTATTACCCTGTCAGGCGGCGAGAACTTCACCACGCCTTGATCCACTTGATCAGAAATCTTGCAAAGCAGGGGAGTGCCACATCTTAGTGGTCAAGACATTGCTACCAGCTCCAGTGGGCTTGGGGAAGTGAATACATGGGGGAGGCAGTTGCAGAAGCCAGCAAGTGAATGAGCAGGCTGATGTTGTTTGCTGAACTCTCCATCTTCTGCTTAAAAAACACCGCTTGGTTGGGCTGAGGAGCCAGGTCAGAGTTTTCATGGGCGTGCTTTGAATTCCATAATTTATAAAACCACCGCTGAGTCAGCAGTCTGCAAGACAACCTGAGGATTGTGACGCTGCGTGGCTTGTTTGCACAAGCATCTTTCTCTTGTGCAAATACCTTTGTTGCTTGGCACATCCATTGCCTCCTGCATCCCATAAGATGCTCTTAAGGGTGGTTCTGGTGGACAGCCCTTCCTTTTGCTAATGACTGTCCCATTTCTACCAATTCTGTGATGTGCTGCCAGACCTGCACCTACTTTACTTTGCTTCCCTCAGGCTTTAGCACTGTAGTAGCCAGCTTTCCAGATAAGATTTTTTGTAACCGCTTCAGTCTTTGGGCTTATCCACACTACCTTTTCCACTGCTCTTTCTGGGCATGGTCTGCACTTTAAAGCTCTGTGCCTGAGCACCCTTTATTTTTGCTCTGGAGCTTTTCCAGCAAAAAAACCACTCTTTAAAGCTGAATTGAAGCAAATGGCAATACACAGAAAACCTGAATTTGGGGAAAGCTCTGGGGCAAAATATGGGACGTGGGTGGCGCTGTGGATAAAAGCCTCAGCGCCTAGGGCTTGCCGATCGAAAGGTCGGCGGTTCGAATCCCCGCGGCGGGGTGCGCTCCCGCTGCTCGGTCCCAGTGCCTGCCAACCTAGCAGTTCGAAAGCACCCCCGGGTGCAAGTAGATAAATAGGGACCGCTTACCAGCGGGAAGGTAAACGGCGTTTCCGTGTGCTGCGCTGGCTCACCAGATGCAACTTGTCACGCTGGCCACGTGACCCGGAAGTGTCTCCGGACAGCGCTGGCCCCCGGCCTCTTGAGTGAGATGGGCGCACAACCCCAGAGTCTGTCAAGACTGGCCCGTACAGGCAGGGGTACCTTTACCTTTACCTTTTACTGGGGCAAAAGACATGGAGTTTTAAAGCATGGAACTATGCCGGGAAAGTGCAGGGCAAAGGGGAAGTGTAGATAAGCCTTATATTGACTTCTTCATATTGTAATGGCCCTTTCTCCTTCTCCTTCTCCTTCTCCTTCTCCTTCTCCTTCTCCTTCTCCTTCTCCTTCCTTCCATCCCTCCCTCCCTCCTTCCCTCCCTCCAGAGCTCCTACTTTTAGGAGAGGAAAATTGTCAGACCGCATCTGGCAATGGTACTTCTATTTTTAATTGCATTCTCCCCCTTTCTCTTCATCAAGGTTTACAGATTGTGCTCAAATCCATCATGAAGGCAATGGTGCCTCTCCTGCAGATTGGTCTCCTCCTCTTCTTCGCCATCCTGATGTTTGCCATCATTGGCCTGGAGTTCTACAGCGGAAAGCTTCACCGGGCTTGCTACGTAAACAATTCAGGTGAGGAACGTCCCATATCCCCTCTCCTTTTCCAGCTTAGTTCTAGCACTTGACTTCTCAAGTGCTGCCATGACAAACTCAAGAAGCCATCAGGGGCTTCCAGGGTGGCCACCAAGGCACCGATTCACCCTACGGGATGTGGCTCCTCCTCCGTTGCATCTTGGTGCCGTTGCTGGTGGGAGGCTGCTTCGATCTTCCTTTTCTACCACAACAGGAGGAGGAGGTGAAGGAGTTCGCCACTGGAGTCGCATCATGCTCACCTCTGTGCTTTTTGGACATTGGGGGGGGGATGCAGCCCCACCCCAAAAATGTTGCAGGGGGGCAAAAGGGCTTGGCCCCCAGGAGCTGGCGCCCCTTCCCCAGACCTCCACCCCAGAAGGCTCAAGGAAGATAACAATAGAAACATTGCTAGCAATAATAATAAAAATAATAATTTATTATTTATCTGGCTGAGTTTCCCCAGCCACTCTGAATATTAGTATTAATATATTAAAAATACGATAAAACATTAAACATTTAAACTTCCCTAAACAGGGCTGCCTTCAAATGTCTACTAAAAGTCAGAAAGTTGTTTATTTCCTTGACATCTGATGGGAGGGTGGGCGCCACTACCGAGAAGACCCTCTGCCTGGTTCCCTATAACCTCACTTCTCGCAGTGAGGGAACTGCCATAAGGCCCTTGGAGCTGGTTCTCAGAGTCCGGGCTGAACGATGGGGGTGGAGACGCTCCTTCACGTATACTGGACCAAGGCCATTTAGGGCTTTAAAGGTCAGCACCAACACTTTGAGTTGTGCTTGGAAACGTACTGGGAGCCAATGTAGGTCTTTCAAGGCCAGTGTTATGTGGTCTAAGCGGCCACTCCCAGTCACCAGTCTCACTGCTGCATTCTGTGTTAGTTGTAGTTTTCTGATCACCTTCAAAGGTAGCCCCATGCAGAGTGCATTGCAGTAGGACAAGTGGGAGATAACTAGAGCAAAGCCAAATAAAAGTTCATCAAATTGAAATCCTCATGGAAATATCCTTACTCTTTGCTGGCCTCACCTCACCTTAAAACGTATGCATGCACACACAGTTTGGAGTTTTATGCCAGATTTCCCAACACCAAAAACGTCTACACAGGAGAGGATTTTGCTTTGGCAGTTGTGGGTGTTTTGCAGTGAGGTGCATGGGTGTTTGCAAGGCAGCCCGGATAACTTCAGGACACAAACACTAACTGAATCGTTTTGTGATGAGAGGGTGGGGGAGAAATGGAAAGATCGTGAGTTGTTGTAACACCTCCCTACCCAGCACCGCACAGTGGAAACCAGAATACTGTTGTAAACCAAATCACTGCCAGATGGCAGCTGTGGTTGTAAGGTTTGGGGTTTCTAAGGCAAGGGGGTTATGAGAATGGATATTTTAAATGCATAGATTCATAAATCACTTACTCTGCTGAATCACCACATTTTGTGCAGGGTGTGTGTGTGTAATATAGAATTTGCAACACTCTAGTGCCCCGCTCAAATGTGGCAAAGAACCTGAACCCAAGGAGATGTTGGGTGAAGCTAGCTGGATGGTTGTTGGCTCAGCTCTCATTTGCACCCACTGAGTTCTTTGGGGAAAGTAACTGGAACACAATGGTGAGACCATGTGAGGAGGGTCAATACTTAGTCCCTCCCATAAGGAACTGGAAGTCTCTAGGTGCAATTGAGCAGTTTTAACCCACCCACCCCAAGACTGCATTGCAGTTGGGGATAACACACAATGAGGGCAGCATTCTGGTGCTGGGGAGGCCCAGCCTCCTACAGAGAGAGGATGCAGTGTGTATCCATGTGTGCTAACCGCACAGAGATGCACTGTGCTCCCATGGAAATTCTTGCTGCAGGAAAGCTACAACGTCACAACCTTTTTATGGGGCAAACCAAAGGTCACAGAGCTGTGAGCAAGTTTTTTTGAATTCCCTATAACTTTTCATCAGTTGTCCAGTGAAACAAGAGGTGTGTGTGTGTGTGTGTGTGTGTGTGTGTGTGTGTGTGTGTGATGGCCCCTTCCTTTTTGTTGTTTCATTCTGTATCTTGACAGATGAAGAGTTCTGGAGAACTCAGAAGTTTGCCCACAGCACTGTAACATTTGGGTTGGATGTGGAACTGCAATGCCACGTGAGCGAGATGAATAAACATCCACCAATAAAAGATAATGGGAGAGGTTTTTACCCCAGCAAATTATTTGTCAAAATTACAAATACCCAAATACCCTCGCTAGATTCAACATGCTGCCATCTGCCTTATTGCAGGGCAGATTTGAGGGTAAACCATACGTGGAACGAGTCTGGCCATGAACGAGCTTGATGGAGGTAGAAACTGTCTCTTATGTCTTGTTACGCTGCCATTTCTACGGGGATATATGCTCGGTATTTATCACTCCTGTTATACAAAAATCTCCAAATGGGTCCAAACTTCAGTGTCTAAAACTCCTGGTAGAGGACAAGGATCTAGAGATCACTCTAAGGGTGACCAAATTCTGTGCGACTGCCATAAAACTTAGGGAACAAGCAGTGCTACCAAAATGATTAAGCTTTTAAATGACAATTTTAGGTTATATTTTAGTGATCAAGATTTAATATATATTTTTAACTGATGCTATATCTGTATTGTCTCTGTTATACCCAATTGCAATTCAATGTATTCCTGTTGTGTTTTATGATTTTCCTGATATTGTAAGTGAGCCGGAACTGGTCTGTGACCATAATAATAAGATTCATTCATTCATTCGGCTTGGTTGCAATAAAGGTTATACAATACTGTGGGTCTTCCCTGCTCTTGGGGACATTCCTTTTGCTTTCCATTGATTCACCTGGGTCCTATTGGTTTAACCTGTGTGTGATTTCAGGTGAATTGCAAGAGTTGGACCCGCCTCATCCCTGTGGGGTGCAGGGATGCCCTGCAGGTTATGAGTGCAGAGAGTGGATTGGTCCCAACGACGGGATCACCCAGTTTGACAACATCCTCTTTGCTGTGTTGACTGTCTTCCAGTGCATCACCATGGAAGGATGGACTACAGTGCTGTACAATGTGAGTAAAACCTGCAAGGAACGACTCTGAAGATAAATAAGATCTTCCACATAATCTACACTGTGATGTCTTCGGTTTGCCATTATTACGGTGTTTTCACTTCTTTTCTCTCCATTTCCTATATAGCGTAGGTCTTGCCCAGTTCACCTTGCTTAGCATATGCCCACTGCAAGTGAGAATCAGAATCAGAAGAATCTTTATTTGCATCAGCTACTAGCCATAACAATAAAATAAAATAAAACGTACTGAAGATAGAGGTAAAAACTTAACTATACAAAGTCCATTTTGGAGGTTTACACCAATAATCCAATAATAGATCTTATTCTAATTGCCCCCACTAAAAACCTTGCGGTTTTTGCTGTCACCTGATCATCTTGATCTGCTAAAAGTAGCAATGGTTGAGTCAGCCGACATGGACAATAGTAGAGGGGTAATAGCCTCACTCCTCAAATCTTTATAAAGCAAGCCAGAAGCCACTGACTCAATACTGCCCCCTCCACAGGGACACTGTTTTTCCAGTGGAATTTTTTGAAATCGACCCTCAAGTACGTACAGCATATTCAATCTTGCAAAAGCGAAAGCTTGTCACTATTTGGGGATTGTTAAATTTTGCAAATAGAGTGCCAAAGTGTCAAAATGACTAGGTGGAAAATAATCATAACTATGGACAAAATTTCCTTATTGTGGCCAAATTGTTCTGTCACTCTATATCATATAGGCACTGTCTAATTAAATTGTTTGCTTTACTGAAGCCCACTGTTAATAACTGTTGTGGTAATAAACCAGAAAAGTAAAGCTTTTGGTTGACAATTTTAGTCCAAGCACTGTCATGGCAATCTTGCGATACTAAGGGTAGTAGACCTGTGGGGTTTCAAATTAGTGAACAAGTGAGCTTGTTTCTACTTTTTTCACAGTATTACATCTATTCCCTTCAGTGCTTCTATATTAAATTGTATGATGTGCATGAGTTGTGGGGGTTTGGTACACCCTCAGGCATTATTTTAACAAGTGAGCTGAAGCTGCAGTGTTTTCCTGCCTGTGACTCCCCTAGTTTTTGGTACAGTAGCATCATGTTAAACCACACCTGCCTCCTTTTCCCAAGTGATGTCAGTGTGGACAGCAGGCTCGCATAGACTCAGTGCGTGGTTGCCTGCAGTGAATAAGAAGTACCTCCAGATTGCTAGGTGAAAAAACTTGAAAATTGGAATAATTTATTTGTTTTCTTCTTGCTGTCTCTTTGTATGTTTGAGTGGGCAGGGTAACTTTCCTTTTTGTTTTGTTTTGTTTCACAGACTAATAACTTTTTCTTTTTAGGAAAGTTAAGGATTTTTTTTTTCTTTCTTGAGGAAAGGATCGCAACCCGTGATGCGTACATTTCTCTTGCTTTTAATTCTGGCAAATTTCGCGTGCTTTTGGATTTCAAAAACCTCCCAAAACCTGTTGCACCAGAGGCAACAGAGGGAAAAGTGAAATACTATATATATCATGGGATGGTAGGCTTCTGTTGAACCTCTTACATCTGTTGTGTTTTGGGGGGCCTGTGGGACAGACCAGAGTTGGACAGGGTAGGGAGAAGGTTTCAGGCAATGGAAATTTTAGCTGGATAAAAATGGGATTGTGGTGCAGAAAGAAAACCTCAAGGGAAACATTTGCAGGATGTAAGTTCCAGAACGTTTGCCAGATCTTCGACTGACAGTGTGCTTTGACAACTTCCAGAGCCAAGTTGAGCAGGCTCTGATGTATGAAGTGATCCCTGTCTCCCTTTAGTAAGGTTCACCTCTTTAAATTGTATATGCTCTAGTGTCTTGAATGAGCCAGCTCCCAAGGAAAGGTTGTTGCCAACTGAAGAAAGCAGGCAAGAACAGAGAGGGTTATCTGCCATGCAGGATGAGCATTGACTAGTGCCAATTCCCCGCCCCTTGGAATGCTGGCTGATAAGGGAATGGCGGGGAGCAAGCTAGAACGTTGTCAAAGCTCGCCAGAAGCACAAACAGGCAGGAAAGAGTTAAGAGACGGCTTCTCAGAGAATGGGGAAGAGGAGGGAGCTGACCCACTCAGTCCGAGGTCTCGGCGAATGGGAGGGCAGCAAGATAGGAAGCAAAACAAAAGATGTATGAAGCGAAAGTTCAGTTGCTTCTGGTCACACCGGAAGCAGTCTTCAGAAGGGTCATACTGATTGATGATGGTGGACGCTGTATTAAAGCCGTCCAGAGCTATCTGTTTCTTTTGACAACAAATCATCCTTTTTAATTAACTACGCTCACTCAAGCTGGGGACTGGACTCCTGACATCTAGCTTAGAACACGGCACTCACCCAGTGCTCTGTTGGTTTCTTTGCAGCTGCTCAGGCAAGAAGGCCTGAGTAGATGTAGGGTCATGGCAGGTGGTGGGGCTGACTGCTGAGGGAGCTCCAGCTGGACCCTTGATTTGTGTCTGGTTGTGCTCCCTGGTCAACTCCTCTCCAGATGTGTGCTGCTGGATCATCAGGTCTGTGTGGTGCCTCCTAAGCCACATCTTCTCTGTTGGCAACCTGGGTGCGCCCTGGTCACCTCCTCTTAACTTGCAGGGCACTTTCATGACATCAGGTCTGTTAGAAAACCACTGTCAATCTCCACAACAATATTCAGCTGCAAGACACTGTTCCAGTGTTCTTTCTGGTTTGCTGCTGCTGCTGAAGATGAATAAAAATAGAATCGGATGAACACCTGCATTTGGGTAGGCTCCCCCCCCCCTTTTGTGACTTAGCCATATGGCATGATCTGTACAGCCATGCAGCGGCTGTCATAACATCAGCCATGGGGGAACTAGCAAGGTATACAAGTTAGAAACAGCGATTAGGCTCCTGACAAAGCAAGTCTTCTGAGGGCAGACACATTCGGTAATTATCTAAAATAAAGCTTCTCAGCAACCCCCATCAGACACTTCCTGTCCCTTCACATCTCTTCCTCCCCCCCGCCAGGAACTGCGGTAGTACGTGTATTGAAGTGAAATAATTCCATTATAATTCCAGTTACAGATGGGTAGCCGTGTTGGTCTGCCATAGTCAAAACAAAAAAAATTCCTTCCAGTAGCACCTTAAAGACCAACTAAGTTAGTTCTTGGTATGAGCTTTCGTGTGCATGCACACTTCTTCTGAAGAAGTGTGCATGCACACGAAAGCTCATACCAAGAACTAACTTAGTTGGTCTTTAAGGTGCTACTGGAAGGAATTTTTTTTGTTTTAATTCCATTATAAGTATGCAATACAACTCCTATAGGAATCTGCTCATGTAACTGTGCTTAAAGGCTTGGCAGACTCCCTTGGGTGAGGTAGGCAGCAAGAAAGAACATAGTTCTTAATGATGGTGCCGAACTGCAGGCGTGGTGGCTGTGCTCCCTCAGCCGGGAAGTAGCCGAGCAGCTAAGTGCTCAGATTGGTGCCTTCCCCTTTCTGCTGGGAAACAAAGCCCTTGTTTCTTGGTTCCTGTGGCCTGTGCTGCTGTAAATAACTACAAATACCAACCATCTGCGCCTCAGCAAGGTTACTGTAGAGAATAATTATTAGTGTTTCGTCTCTGAGAGATTGAGAGATTGGACTACTCTCTCAGGAGACCAAAATTATTTGATGCATTCAGTTCAAAGCTGCGGGGGAAATGAATATCAAGGAATGAATTCATTCGTTTGCTTCTATTTTATCCGTTTATTTTTCAATGCAATTCCTTTTTTTCCCCCCAAAAAAGCAACCTTGGGGCCGCTGACAACAATTATGCAGGACAACATAGAATCATAGAATCATAGAATCATAGAGTTGGAAGAGACCACAAGGGCCATCGAGTCCAACCCCCTGTCAAGCAGGAAACACCATCAGAGCACTCCTGACATATGGTTGTCAAGCCTCTGCTTAAAGACCTCCAAAGAAGGAGACTCCACCACACTCCTTGGCAGCAAATTCCACTGTCGAACAGCTCTTACTGTCAGGAAGTTCTTCCTAATGTTTAGGTGGAATCTTCTTTCTTGTAGTTTGGATCCATTGCTCCGTGTCCGCTTCTCTGGAGCAGCAGAAAACAGCCTTTCTCCCTCCTCTATGTGACATCCTTTTATATATTTGAACATGGCTATCATATCACCCCGTAACCTCCTCTTCTCCAGGCTAAACATGCCCAGCTCCCTTAGCCGTTCCTCATAAGGCATTGTTTCCAGGCCTTTGACCATTTTGGTTGCCCTCCTCTGGACACGTTCGAGTTTGTCAGTGTCCTTCTTGAACTGTGGTGCCCAGAACTGGACACAGTACTCCAGGTGAGGTCTGACCAGAGCAGAATACAGTGGCACTATTACTTCCCTTGATCTAGATGCTATACTCCTATTGATGAGGCCCAGAATTGCATTGGCTTTTTTAGCTGCCGCGTCACATTGTTGGCTCATGTCAAGTTTGTGGTCAACCAAGACTCCTAGATCCTTTTCACATGTACTGCTCTCAAGCCAGGTGTCCCCCATCTTGTATTTGTGCCTCTCATTTTTTTTGCCCAAGTGCAATACTTTACATTTCTCCCTGTTAAAATTCATCTTGTTTGTTTTGGCCCAGTTCTCTAATCTGTCAAGGTCGTTTTGAAGTGTGATCCTGTCCTCTGGGGTGTTAGTCACCCCTCCCAGTTTGGTGTCATCTGCAAATTTGATCAGGATGCCCTTGAGTCCATCATCCAAGTCGTTGATAAAGATGTTGAATAAGACCGGGCCCAAGACAGAACCCTGTGGCACCCCACTAGTCACTCTTCTCCAGGATGAAGAGGAACCATTGATGAACACCCTTTGGGTTCGGTCAGTCAGCCAGTTACAAATCCACTGAGTGGTAGCATAGTCAAGACCGCATTTTACCAGCTTCTTTACAAGAATATCATGGGGCACCTTGTCAAATGCCTTGCTGAAATCAAGGTAGACTACATCCACTGCGTTCCCTTCATCTACCAGGCTTGTAATTCTGTCAAAAAACGAGATCAGGTTAGTCTGACATGACTTATTTTTCA